TAAGAACAAATGCAAGGAAGCCAATATTCCACATTTAGACAAAGGTACTGAGGCGGTATATTGAGAAAGTCATTTGCCGCCGCAAGGTTCTAAACGTGAACTCGAAAGGGAGCATAAAGTTTTCTGCAGATTTTCTAGAAACGGTATCACATTCATGCTTGGTCTTTCTCTAGGAATTCTAATCGCACTGCCAGTTTGTAAAAGTTCAAAGGACTATAACGTCAGTTATTTGCTCGTTTGAGAATAAGAATGAATGAGAGGAAAAGTTAACAAGGTTGAGGACTGATCCAATGAAACACGAATGAAAAGAATTATGAGATTTGCATGGTTCCAATTATTTCCAGAATCTGTTTCCAGCGCGTTAGGAAGAGTAACCTAATTGTACTTTCACCATGTCCCAGATGATGAAATACCAATTGATTAGAAGGATAATTTAAGTTGTTTCTGCATACCTTTCCATGAGTCTGAAAGAGTCGCATTAACATATGAGTTTATCGTACAAGGCTTCAGTTCTCTTCGTTGACGGCAAAAGGGATTCTTAGTTTTCACGAGTTTTTGCTGTTACACCATTGATTGGTGTAATGATATCTCAATGTCATGCCTATGGCAACTGCGTTTCATAGGTGAATAAAAATTTGCTGTCACTTATCAGGATTTACATGATGTGTTCATACCGTTCCCTTGCTTCTAATAGCCATAGGGATCGTCTCAGAAGGCCATGGCTACATGCCATTTTAACGCCTGTGGTGCATTGATGCCAAAATCGCCTCACTGTTCTGAACTGAGCATCAATTTGATCCGACACTGGTTGAAAAGTTACTGTCCATAGGCGAATATACATATAGACAGACCCCAATGCGAATTTGGAACTTTTACCTGACATGAAATCTGCTCAACTAAAATTTAACCAACTCCCAACCATTAGTCATACTCTATTCTGTCTGAATCCTTAGACTATTAAATTAACATGTTTTCAAAGACATTTCTGTTACACTTAAATTAGTTATCGATATATAATCGACTGTTAATACAAGTAATATAATACTGTATGAATAGTATGAGAAAACTGAAAGATTAAAAAGTTTCCTTTGGTCCTTCCGTTTTCATTATTAAATTATCAAGAGATGCGTCAATCTTTTTTCATAACTGATTGCGATGTATAGCAGGCTAAAGTGTTATTTTGTCTAAATGTGTCACTACTGTTAAAATCTAACGATATGCGATTGTAATCTTTTTCATCATGAAACGTTTCGGTTCTTCTTCTGATTGTGAAGCCTCCGCTTAAGTTGTTTTGCTGTTTCTAATTCCTTGAGTTTTTCACTTGAGTTTGATAATTCATCTACATCTAAGTCAATCAGCTGTTCGATATCACGTTCATCGATTTTTGATTTTAGTTGTTCAACAATTTTTAATCAAGTCTTCAAAATTTTCCTTCATACCGAAACCATGCATAAAGCGCGGACAAATGTTTTTCTAAGGAGAAACTCAAAGCGTGAACTCTTCCCATGTTTGAGTCACATTTCGAAGTGCTTTACTGATATTATAGGACTTCTAAAAATCTCAGAATTTTTAATCAAGGTCTTTGTCCATAAATATTAGATTACGTTGCCGATGTTAAGTGGTGTGATAGTAACGTCGGCGCGTTAAATAAAGATTAAATAACCCGAAATAATTTTGAAAGCTTGAATTTTCGTAAGCCTGAGTCTGTCTGCGTGTAAAATGATTGAAGTATGTGCTTCTTCCCCGTGGTTTCAAAAATTATCACTTTATTTGTTAGCCTAGAACGTCGTCGTGACTTTAATTTAAGTCAATTAACTAATTTATTCTTCCTTTTCAAACCGAATTTGCTCATATATTAATGTGAGCGCAAACATACGCTTTCCATGACATTCTACGCTTGGACAAGAAGAACCTGATTCCCTTATCACTGGCTATGAAGCAAATCACGTGTCAATAATTATTTAAATAAGCAAATTGTTTTACCTGTGTATGATATTACAACTCCGCCCAGAAGAGCGCCACAGCCTCGGCCAAAGCCGTGATGAATTCCTTGCAAAAGCCCTTGGGCAGATGATTTATATTCCGGAGGAGCAGCGAGCGATATATACGATGTTGCTGCAGCCCAGACGGCAGCATGAGTCAAACCTTAAACGCAGATTGATCAGACCTCAAACATTCATTGAAATTTTCAAATGGACTTCGGTGAACTCGGTAAATGGTAAAGAAATTTTAAAGCTTAATCTTGTCCAAAGAACACGCTCGGTTTATTTATGCATAATGTGGCCAATCGAATGATTGACCAGTACTGACATTTTGGCCCATGTCTCACGAGGGCATTCTTCAAGATACAGAGGTGGATTGACTTCAGAGATTCCTTGAGTCTTCTCACCCATTCCAATGTTATGACCCAGAAGACCCTCTGAAGCTCGCTCACATCGTTGCCCCGAAGAAGGCCCGCGAGACATGAGCCGAAACGTCAGTATTAGCCAGTGATGGTCATCAGCATTAGATTGACCGCATTATTTGCTTGTGAATAAATTAACCATGTTTTACGCTGTTTTCAGCATTACTGCGAAAAAAGCATGGCTGCCGAGATCTGGAAATTAAGCAGAAATTACTTATTTGAAGGTAATCCATAATTTAAGGCAAACAATCAGCCACTATAAATTCGCACAACAGGAAGTTACTGCGCTTACTTTTAAAAGCCCATTCTGTTCACGTGTTTTGTATTTCTTTAGATAGGGTTTTCTGTTGCCTCAGCATTGATCTTTATTGTTCTCCTTTCTCAAAACTGGGTAGTTTCGTAACAATCCTCCAAACTGATATTAAGGATAGGTCACATTTAAGAAACTTCAGCGCTTCTTGTGAGACTTATGATGTCCCTATGAATCTTAGGAGTAGCAACGACTTTTTAAGTTTCGTATTTGAAGAAAAAAGACGAACAGCCACTAGAAGAAATTTAGGACCTCCATAAAGCTGAAATTTGAATGGCAGCCCCATGTAGATACATATATGTGCATATGAGTCATATTTCTATGCAGGATTTTTACCTGAATAAAATGTAAATACAGTAGTAGTTAATTACTCACCTCGACTGAGGAGTAATTACACTTCCACCTACCACTGAAACAATATTACTCTGCGTATCACGTAGCACGCAGTGGGACGCTTCGGCAAAAACAGTTTGGGCGTAGTCCGATGATTGATGTTATCGCTCCTTTCTGCGACCGCAACTTTGATTCTGCACAACGGACCGGTGGTCATCGATGGGTGGTTTTATTTAACTCATTTTGCTATATACCAACGGAAAGTTCTTTGTATAGGAATTGTTCATCCGAATTCCATCGTGACGGAAAATCCATGCGAGGTCAGTCAGCAGGTGCATATTCCTGCGGTCACGAATTTGAATTTATGACGTTGGCAGATGGTCATCTGCATCGATTACTCGATTTCATTATTAATCAAAAGCTCCGTGCCGTTTCCAAGCTCATAAATTGCAAAGATTCATATTTTATGTTATGATTTCACTGTAACGTCTGCGATAGTCAGTTTGATAGAACGCAATGAGTGAAGCATGCTACAAGAAGGTGTGAATAATGGACGAATTATGGACAGCTTATTATCCATACGCAAATTCACTGTTGGGGCAAAATGGGCGTATTACGGCCAGAGATAGCGTTTTATTCGCTTGCAATATTTTAAAATTATTCTCCTACGAGCTTCTGAAAATTCCATAAAATGGAACTCGCTTCCATATTAGCACGGAACATAACAAGTTCGTCAGAATGAAATCGTCTAACGAAAATATAAGCTCTGACCTTTCAAATTGAAGCAGTTGTGACAAGAGCTTCGTATTGCGTTCACAGAGCAACTTCAGTCGATTACGTATAACGTGAGGGATCAAATCAAGTAATTGACACAGATGACCACCGGCCAATTATGTAAATTTCAACTCCCAAGTAAATAATTGGGTACCGACTTAATCGTTATCTACTGACCTAACAACTGCGCTCAGCCATCAAGATGGAATCAAAATAATAAGCCAATGATCGAAACTTAAAGGTTTAAAAATTGCATTGCATATGCCTTCCCACAGATATATAATAAGAGGTCAAATTTATGCAGATGACCGCCGACCAGTTATGCAAATTCAAAAAAGCGACCGCCGCACCGAGCGTTGGCAACAACCAGTGGTCTGCATCCAAACACAGTACATCAGAGCGGCTCAGCCTAAACGTCATACATCGTATCTGGCACAAGATCCTAGTAATCCTACGGTATTGACACGCACGAAGGACTATGTCAAAATTTGGTGATGACCGCCTTTTCATGAATCGATGATGACTCTGTTCCACGTTGTGCCCTCCATTTTGGAGATCTACTAATTCGTGCATGATACTTTCGTTCTTAATCAGTTATAGCATGTGAGACTGAGTGGATTTAACTTGCGATTTATCCCTGATTTTCCACTCTTTTGATCCGTCACTCACTTGCGAAGAAAAGCATGCATTATGGGCAATTACAGATTTTATGTAGTGTTTTCTTTGTTGTACTTGGTTTGTGTCTTAGCTCGAAATTGATCTGAAATTAGTCAACGCTAAATTCTATTTTTTGAGTTAATATGTTGCTCCATGCTTCTAAAATATTGCTGTCATCTTGAAAACAACATAAAACTGTTTTCATACACAAAGCAAACGGTACTGCCAATCGGATGATTGAACAGTACCAATGTTTCGGCCCATGTCTCACCTGTCTTCTTCAATGTAAGCAGTTGGTTGAGTTTCGTAATTTTCGGATAAAACATTTGGCAAGTGCTTTAAGCAAGATTTCTCCTCCTGTCTTAAGGTGTTATAATTTTAATCGTTTCTGTCTGGACATCTGTAAATTTTTATGTTTCTGATCGCCCACTCAATTTCAACACAAGTGGCTTCTGAGGCGTGTAGCAACTTCCTTTTCACGTCTATTTTACTCAGATCACGTTCTTCTCGTCGCGACTAGAGGTTTTTGCTTCTATTTCGTTTTTTAGCGTACTCCGAAACCCTTCTTTTCGGGAAATGCACTGTTCCACTGCTTTAGGACTATTTCTCTCTCACCATGGACTCCCTCAGTAGTATTCTCCTGCGACCACTGTAGTCTTTCCTTGACTTCTTCAATATCTTTCCGCACAGTGCATCATCCACACCACTCATTTTGTCTTCGGCCTTCAGCTTGGCTGTTCTTGCTCTACCTGGCTTAATGACAACTGCGTTGGTTTCTCCTGGACTTTGCTGTCCGGATTCACGTTCAAACAACTGTCATGATGGCATTTGCAAAATGGTCATATTCCGCGCTTATGCCATCATTGATGTTCATTTAAGGGTTCATTAATGACAGCTAGACTCAGTGAAAGTCTTGAATCGGATCTTAGTTCTCTGGACAGAACGGTGGTCGTTAATCTCTTTTGATCTGCTCTTCTTTCATGAGGATGTGGAACGCAAAAGTCCGTGACCAGACGCTATGCAGATGATGTTCTCGTCTATGACCAACAGGTCCCATAATATTCGTTTCTTGGCCGTCAGTCCATAATCGTGTTGGTTCAAAGACTTCGTCCACTATCGCTTTCTAGAAAACGAGGTTCATGACGTACAGGTGGTTGCTTTCAGGAAAAGTTGTAAAGCGGTGTTCACTTTGACCTTTACCGTATCTTGTGATAGACGCCTGCATCGTTTATTCTTTTCCCGACGACTGCACTGAAGTCTCATTGAAGACTCTCTTTGTATAACCATCTTTTCCATTACACCTTCCAACTTCTCGGTTTCTTCGTCTTCAGCTTGTTGGGTAGTGCTGTGAACTTGGTTTATTATAATTGATCTTGTATGCATCTTTAGAAATGCTATGCGAGGTGATACGTCACAGCTCACTACAAGTGGACAAGCGTCCCTTTCTATTATGAGTGCAACTCTGCCTTCCCGAAGAACATTTCATCCAAGTTTTTCCATTGAGTAACAAGTTAGATAGACTTAAGGTCCTGCATATGACGTCCAATGACGCCTACCTTGATCATCTTCATTTCCACGATAGAGACGCCCATCGAAAATCCGTCGGAAGCCTGTCACCAAGGAAATTCTTAACCGGACGAAACGCTGACCTTCCGGCTTCAAACGTACGAACCGTTGCGAAGAACAAGACTTCTGAAACTCAACCTACTCTTTACCTTTAAGAAGGCTTGTGAGACACGTGCCAAAATGTCCATACCGATCAACCATCTGATTGGCAGTATTGTTTCTGTTATGAATCTATATTATTTTATGCTGTTGTCCGTAAGATCACAAATGAATGAACGAAATACTCCACTCTTACAGAGATGTGGTCCGGTAATTTTTTGAGTGACCTCTAACATTTACATCCCCAAATCACAGCCAGTAGCTTAGAATATTCACACTTGAGACCATAACCGACCGGAAGAAGAAAAACTTATTTTATAAGCTTCAATAAACTGACAAATTTATTGCCCATTTAATTTGCCGCAAACCAGCAAGTGGAGTCACGATACCATTCAAGTGGGTGAAGGAAGAAATTCATGTTTAGCGTTAAAAGCAAGTTTATATTTAACAATACAAATGTAATACTTAATTTAAAAAAAATTTCGATTACCTTGAACAAATTCGAATGGCAATACCCACCAAGGATCTTCCAACCAACTGACATAAAGGAATCGTGCCAGATTAGCCAACAGTCCAATGTACAAAACTCTTACATGTCCAACTTTGTTGATCAAGCGGAAACTGAAGAAATATGCGCATACTTCTGACAGGTGATTAATAACCGACGCCATGCCGTACAGTGACGGCGAGCCTCCCAGGTCTTGCAGGTGCCAGAAAAGAAAACAGAAGACGATGCCAATGCCAAAACCCATCCACCAGGTGACGAACAGAAACGCCATGTAATGCGGAGACGCGAAGGTCTTCATGACCGTGAGCCATTTTGGTCCGCGCTGTACCTTCCGGAATTCCGGGGCTTTCGCACGAGCTTTTTCTGCTACGGCGGGGTCGACTTTGCTGTTTTGGCTATCGAGGATGCGACTGTAGGCCTGACGAGGGTTTTCCTCATGTTCGGGAAACTGGAACTGGGTGGCTGTGATCAACGCACAACTCATCAGAATGGAAAACGACGCGAAGCACAGCGTGTAGTTCTTCTCCCTTACGTTCAGCCCACAGGGATGACTTGGAAACACTAAGCTATAGTCGAGCATAATGCCAATTACGAACATCGCCAATGCCCACCCAATACTGCCGAACATTCTTTGTCGACCGTAGTAGTTTGGACGATCTCCTGAAAGAAATGCATTGCATTATTAG